CAAAGTTGGCCACGATTTAAATAACATTGCATGCACGTGTGGCATCGAAGAACTTGGTCAGATATCCGCGTATCCTTTCACTAGGGCTCTTTTCGATCTCGCGGAAAGCATCACTTCGGATTTCAGTTTGCACACCTTTTCTCTATCTGCAGGAGGAAACTTTCCGATAATGATTTGCGCTTTATGTACGAGGGAAAACAGTGTTACGTAGACCGCCCTGTAGCAATTGGCATTGAGTTTTACCTATTCGTTTTTGACAACGATGCATCTAATATCGTAAGTTTGGAAGACTTACTCAGCCTTTGCAGAAGTTGTTCTAGTCCCACCAGCAAAAAACGACAGATAGTCGAATCTCGCGTTCTTTTTCGAAAATCCTCTTGAAAAGTTTTAACGATGACGTTGCTGAGTCGAATCCAGTTCATAGTATCTAAACAGACCGAAAGAGCGTACAATAAGCCGAATTCTTGAAGAAAATAAACTCCTCGGAAGTCGGAAGTTTGAAACCAAATTCGAGACGCACGGCTGTCTGTGACGTCTCACTGAGTGCCCTATATCAACGTTAAACGGCGATTCTTTATTCTTCAAACAGTCCATATCTGTCCTCGCTACTTTCGGCTTTTCGTCTTTGAAATGTCTTCATCCATCATTGCATCCAGCTTCAGCATATGATCCATCTACCTTAGGTTATCCGGCCGTCCTGGCAGTTCGGCCCTTGTCCTCCAGAGGCTTCGCTTCAGAACCCATTTCGCTGTCGAATCTCAAACGTGGAACAGGCGGCCGTTGCTCATTTAATGGCATCATTGCTACCGTCTTTGGCGCCTCCGGCTACCTCGGCAGGCACGTTGTCAATCAACTCGGTAGGATGGGGGCCCAAGTCATCGTTCCATATCGAGGAGACCCGTATTTTGTCCGTGATCTCAAGGTCATGGGCGACCTGGGTCAAGTGCTTTTTTGTGTAAGTTTGCTCTTCCTACTTGTTACTCCGCTGTTATATTTGCTTACTCGATGGCAGTCCAAAGCTGCCACGTGGTGTTTTTGCTACTTTCGGTCATTCCCGTTACTCAGTCTTTTAAGTCACTTAAATCTATCTTCCAAAAGCACGGAGATTTGCTTTCAACTGCCGACCACCTTGAAATTTGATTTTCCCTTTCCAATTTGTTGATCTTAGACAGTCGTAAGATTTTGAGCTACAAACGCCACGCCACACCCGCGCCGTGAATTTGACTGGGAAAGCATTGGCGTAAAGGCCTTCTCTATTATGCGGGTTCAAATCCCGCCGAACGTCGCGAGTTTTTTCACAATTGGGTCAACTTAAATTAAGCAAATCTGCCACATCTAAATATTTTTCAAGCATCGCACTTTTTGTCATTGCTGTACATATTAGCTTTTAAATAATACATTTACCATATCTCTCTTATTTTTTTATTCCATCCTGTTAGTCATTGGCTTTTAATACAACCACCACTCCTGGTTTGATTGTTATTCTCTAAATCCTTCAAGCCATACCACCTGGAAGATGAGGATGCGATA